CCAGCGATGTTTTATGTAACTTTACTCGATTGATAAAAAATGCAAACAACAGTACTTAAAACTGTCGCCAGACACTGTCCAAGTGAGTCATTTATTTGGGATACAACATGGTGTTTGAAATAGTGGCGTTCCTTTAGTTGCGCACACGCAAAATTACTTTCAAAGTAATAATAAGCAAACGCCCACGCGCTGTACTCTGTTCTCTAAACGAACCAATAATAGTGCATTTTATGAGGTTAATTATGTCGAAGAACGTTAGAATACGTTGATTCGACCTTCTGTATGCGTAGTTCAGTGGATAAAAGATATATACGTAGAGCAGAGGTGGTGTGCATTCCGAGATCATATGATGAGGACAGAAAGCACGTCGGAAAAAGTCGAGTCCTACTCGTGAAGTTTCGATTTGTTGACACCAACCCGTCGTCAGACGAAATGAGAATAAAACAGAAAGTGAAGCAGTCACACTAGACTAGTAGACGCGACAGGACAAACATTGACAGGCGGACCATTAGCGTGTGAGGAGGGATGCGGGCAGGGAGTCATGCTGGGTTCTGAGCCGGGAGGGTAGTAAGGTGGGGTGGAGATAACAGTTACGGCTCCCCGTGTTGGAGGGGAGGGAGAATGGTAGGTTGGCAGAACAGCGGGCGCCTGGACTAGCGGCTGCTGATGCGGCGTGAGGCTAGGCTTAGTGAGGCGTGATCTTAGGCCCTCATAATGGGCATCTAGGTCACCGTGGCGGTTTATGCTGCCCGCTTTAGAGTTCCATGCCTCTAGGAAGTCTCTCGCTCGTTTTGTGTTGGCCGTGGCGATGACCTCGGTGTTATCCCAATTAAAACGGCGGTCGCACTGGAGTGCGTGTGCAAAGACGGGGGACAGTGGATCACGGCGACGGACAGCTAGTTTGTGTTCATTAATTCGAGTGCCCAGGCGTCGTCCTGTATGACCAACATGTACGCAGGGACAGTTGGCACACGGGATGCAATAGATGACGTGAATCTGTTCCTCTTTGGGGATATAATCCTTTACTCGATATAAGGCTGTGCGCAGCGAGGATGCAGGCTTGTGGGAAACGCGGATGCCTAACTGATTTAGCTGACAGACGATCATTTCTGAGATCCCCTGCGTATAGGGCAGGGAGAAGAATTTGTCGGTCGCGGTTTCTCCATCTAAGGAGGGGCCTCGAGGTTGTGCCTGACGCCTGAGGCAGTTCTTCACAAAACTGATCGGGTATCCGTTGGATCGAAGTAGCCGATATAGATAACCTAATTCTTTCTTCAGCAGACCTTCATTGCTGCAATAACGGTAGGCTCGGTGAAAGGAAGTTCGGACGCAACTTCTTTTGTGAACCGCAGGGTGATTGCTTCCATAATTGAGGATGATCTCAGAATTAGACCCCTTTCTATGGACGCTGGTTGCGAGATTACCGTCGTCCAGCCTTTGTATCTTACGTCCAGAAACGACAGACTGTCTCCTACTACCTCTTCACGGGTGAATTGTATGGCCTGAAAGACATAATTCAGTCTCTGGTGTAGGCTTTCGATTTCGCGGTTCTTTATATATATCTGTATATATAGTTTGGCTGACTTCGGCCTGGTAGGTGGCTGCCTGTTCGTGACTCCTATCGCCTTTACGGAGCTTGTTTGCTTCGGGAAGCCAATGGATCGGTGCGCGCCCATTCGTGAGTGAAAAATTGCCGCTTCTGCAGCGACAGAGAATGGCAGGTGGCGAGGCACTGATGAACTTCGGTTTAATGAAGTGGTTATGACCCATCTGGTAGACCCCAGTGGTGGACCAGCTGCGCCAGGTGCGTCTGTGCGCATGTTTGTGTCTCCGGTCCCAGCTGGTGGTCAGGGTTAAAATTGGCTGAATGAAGGCAAACAAGCCCGAAATATTGCTGTATCAATCTACCCCCCATACTCTGTCTCCTCCCCTCTGCTATCATAGCTTGGCCGACTTCGGCCTGGTAGGTGGTTGCCTGTTCATGACCCCTATCACCTATCCAAAGCTTGTTTGCTTCGGGAAACCAATAGATCGGTGTGCGCCCATTCGTGAGTGAATATATATGCATATACAGTAGACGTCAACTAATCTAATCGATCCTCTGGTCGGGCGTAATAGTTAAGAAACCGGACCAACCGGTCACTTATTGCTCTTACTACGTACACAATTACGTGTTATATGGCTGATAGCTGTCTCAAAAAGTAGCCATGAAATCAAAACAAAATGGACGACCAGACTTTTGGGAACATCGCATGACGTTCTGCCGATAAGCACCACGATTAACTGGCCTACACACGTCAAGTGGGCTTATCAGTAAAACGACAAGAGCCCGCTACCGCGCAACAAACACTGTGCAACGGTCGATGCGGCCGAAACGGCAGAGTGCTATGCAGCAGGCGTTTGAAGGGCGGAATAGAAGAACCGCTGTCATGTCGAGAAGACATTTACCGTTTTTTCTGACTAATCCTGATGCGCTTTTTAAATTTTTATGTTGTTTCAAACACCGCAGTAAGCGAAGCCACATAATAGGCCCTCAAATCATAAAACGGACAGGGAAACCCAAGCCGCCGGGTAAGAACAGTCAAATTGGCATTTGTGATGTGTTCTTGCAATCGCTTCTCTCTGAACGACTTCGGGTATAATCGCGCTTACCGTCTACCTATCCCCGGGCAGTTGAAACATGACCGGCAGCTTTGGCAGTGAAGGTCATGGGAGGACATTGACTAACGCCCATGGAGTAGCGCGACAGTGTCGGCCCTGGGGTCACGTGACCGACATGAAACGCCGTCTCACCGACATACCCACAGGGCTGAAAGCAATTCGCTGTACGAGTCCACCGGAGGACGCGGACGAAGCAATGACGCAGGTTGACATTGCTGCAAATACGTCGGCCACAAAAGGAACAGAGCTCACTCGAGACCCACAGCGGTCTAACACTGAGGGGTCACTGCTTGTTCGCAGTAAGAGACCAGACCAACCAGTCTGAAAAAATCAAGGCTAACATCAGCATCCACTGCATCAGACTGAAAGAACAGGGGAGATTGTAGGGAAACGGTCCACCTTATCCCACCACCAGGTTTTTCACAGTTGGATCAATATGAATTATTCTATATCTGCCAAAACATCTATGAATAACGTTAGCCTGGTAGTCGTCAAAGGGATTCTTGGTGGATTCCGGACGTTGTAGTAGGCTGGGTGGGTAACTTGACCCAACTGTGATTAAACTCATATCCTTTTGAGAGGCCTTGTAGCTCAGGTGGCTAGATGGTTGGCTGTTATAAAGCCTTCCCATTGCTTTCTTGTGTTTGAATCACACCAAACTGTTCAGTTTTAACTGCTCGGTCGATATAGATTATTAAAAATCTGCCAACGAGTCTAATAAATTCCTATTTTTCCAGGGTTTCATAAGTTCTGAGTCAAAATGTAACATTTCCTAACCACAACTCAACCATAAGTCGTGTGCTTACGTTGTTATAATATACCTTATAGAAATTATATAAACGACTAGGTAAACATTCTGTGACCCCATTTCAACGTTTTAAAATTTCTGACTGCATGATTATTCGCATAATTTTAATCACACACGCAACCATACCGACGTAAAATAACCTTGGGCATGGACTTAAAATGACCCTCAAAGAATAGGCAAGCTAACATGAAAAAACAATCGTCACCCTTGTCTATCAAACCGTCTACGCAACGTTCGCGCCTGTCCTGCGTAAAGAGGTCATTAAGGTCACACTGCATACCGAGAATTCGCTTCCCCTAGCGTCCTCAAGCAGCCCGAGACACACGAGGACTTTTGTCTCCGGTCTTATTGGTCATGATCGACTGGCTTTCCTATTGGTTGGTCCGGAATGCCTCCTGCGCCAATGACTGCTGGCCGTGAGCCAGGGCTTATTTATGCCCAAATACGTCGAGGACGCTCGGGCTATTCACCCAGAGACTACTATCTGCTTAGACCTCCAGCGCCCAGAGGAAAGCGATGAAGAACGCAGTGACACGCACCGCGTAAATGAATGACCATTCCCAGAATATATCTTGACTTGATAAGAAATAAGTGACAGCGTGAAAAAATGATTGAGGACGATTTTGAACGCTTCTGCCGCATCGGCAAGGGTTACCATTCTCCAAATCTCCATGCGCAAAGGCTTCAGTCTGCTCAGGAAACCTATGACCAGCAGGAACAGCAAAGCTCCGGCGGACGACATGATTTCCTCACAGCACCACAATCTATCTCCCGTTATCGATCAAGCAGTCTTCGCGAGAATCCTCGACGAAGTCCCTATCATGGCAGCCCGCGCAGTAGCCTGACACAACGACGTGAAGTCGCTCTAGTGGGCATGCACTCGCCAGGCGGACAGCTCTCCCTAAGCACAGACCTACCCGGTAGTTCCAGGCGTCATTCCCTGGCTCCTACATTCAAGAACACAGAACGTCAACCTCTACAAGGCTCACCTTATTCACGCAGCTCAGTACACCAGTTTGATCCTGCACTGGAAACAACCAATGAAGAGCCGGTGACGAGAGCACGTCACTCAAGTGACCGAACACACCTTGATCGGACTGGCTCCGCCCGCAGTACAGCCGAAGTAGAAAACATCAGTAGCAGACATTCCAGCGGGGCAGGAACGCACGCACATCGGAAGATCAGCGCTTCTGTTGGATTAACAATTCCAGGTGTGCCACCGATCCAAGTCTTCTCGGAGGACAGTCCAGAAACTTCCATGAACGTGGTTCGTGTGCGGTCATTTCGTCGCACCAAGAACGGTGTTGTGAGTCAGGGTGATAGCGATGTCTTCTACCGACCGGCAAATGAGGCTTGCAACTGTAGACACTCCTTCAGCTGTGGTTCGGAGTTGATGGCGGCTGAAACAGCAGGGGGCAGTAGAGAGGCAAACAATGCGACAGAAGCTAACTCTTCTGAGGAGCAGTCCCCACAAACAACAACAACGAGACGCAAATCACGGCACGGTAGTGCTCACGAACGTCCAAGGAAGAAGTTAAGTCATCAGGACATGTACATGTTGGACAAAGTGGAGGCCGCAAGGACAATACGTCGCAAGTCCCTAACCCCGACTTGGAACTGTTCTGACCACTCGGACACCGAAAGCGCGGTGAAAATGAGTCCGCAGACGTACACTGTCCAGGTACTTGGTGCAGTCCAGGTTGGAAAAACTACTATGTGCACACAGTTCATGACCTCGGAAACTCTGGATGAGTCGGCTGACTATGGTAAGATTTGTGCCGACTATGCGGTTAATACTGTATCGCAACTCCATCTTTACTAGCACGTATGCAGCCAAACGAGCGTATCGTTTTCACTGTTCATATAGTTGGAGGTCATTTGCACGTCAGCTGATGTAGGACATAGATACGTTGTTCCTTGTTCTTAGGGGATTACGGACATTCAGAACAGAAATACTTTTAGTAAACGAAGTATTCGTCCGACGGATTACGATTAACTAGGACTCTGTAAAATTCCTCCGAGGGACTGCGTAGCTTCGAACCATCATCAGAGTAGTTATCAGGCGCACATATGTGTTTCCTACGAAGCCGGACTACTGACGATCGCAAAGCAATCGTGACGTTATGCAACCCCGTGCTTTTTTTGGTTACCATAATTGAAACACATTAATTTTGCACCACCAAACATGGTGGAGCAGCTTTTTTGCCATAAATGCAAAACGTGGCAATAGTGGAACCTCGGTTTTGATCTTTCATAGTAATGCCTACTTAAATCAACACTCAATACATCTTACGTTTAAAGTCCGTTGTGAAATATGCTGTTCCCTAACGAAGTATGCTGTTTTATTTCCAGCATTAACCTTGAATTAATATGTTTGTTCGAAAGCGGAATTTAAGTTTACGCAACGTGTTGAAGCAACTGTCGCATGAGGGGAAGACTGTTTAACAAGTCCATTGTGTGCGTCAATTTCGTTTTAAATTAACCTGACAATTTTGCAGCACTTTGGTTGATGCTTAGAGGCCGATATGCAAGCCACCCATGCTGCACTTAGTGTTTTAAGGAAAGTGTGGGAAAGTGCATAGCGGCATAGTTTCGCAATTTACAAATGCATAAATGTTCTTATTCTTCCCTTGCCAAAGATACGAAAATTAACCCAGGCATGCAATTCATTGAATGTGTGGATGGTGTGGTAGGTGAAGTAACCCTTAAAATTAAGCATTTGGCTTTTTACCAATCCATTGCAGAAGAACGTGCGTGTCACTACAAGCATCCGAAGTACACTTTCCCCACAAAGGGGCCACACGAGAGATGCCCTAAATTGGCCCAGGACCTGGAGTAGGGCATGGTAGCCATTATGGCTAAAACTCCACACACCCAAGCGCAGGTTCACGCCAAATCAGTTACTTTCACCGAATCCCCACAACGTATGCCTGGGAGAGTAAAGCAAGATGGGGCGGCCTTTGGGCACCGTCCTCGCAGCACTTCAGTGCATATTTCTCTCTATAAACAGACTGGCGCGCTTTTAATGAATCGCGGCTTTTAGGGCTGCCCAGTGGCGTGATAATCCGTTCCTGTCAAAACTGAGTGTCAGACTCCAATGGCTTCCTCTTACTGTGACCCTCGTGATGACTACTCCCTGTTTCTGTGAAAACGTAGTCTGTCGTACACGGATTTGGCATTTGCGGCAGTCGCAGCCACGGGCGCGGCCTACCTGACACTGGTAGATGGAGGTGTGAGTGTCAAAGATGCAGCGCAAGTCCATTATTACTGCAAACTCCGCCGCTCACATGTCACCGTCTCGGTGTCTACAATGGGGCAAAGCACACTGTGGACTTAGTCGTTCGCCATGACCAAAGTGTCATATTTAGATCATATCCTGACAACAGTAATATCATACTTAAATGTCAAGGATCATAAATGCGACCAAGCAGGTATTGCATTGCTTAAAGAGTTTTACCGCCACAATGTTTCACTCTTTTAGGCCAAAGTATAAGAAGACGCACGCGCAATGCTAAAAAAACATCGGAAAATGGCGATTATTGGGCATTTTAGTTTAAAATTAAACGTTTTAATGCATAGTCGAAATGCATGCAAAGTGTACAATAAAATACCTGTACGTTATAATATATAGTGTCTTCAAGAAACGCTCACAACAAAATCTGTTTTTTCCTTGAAAGTAAAACTTTCGGAAACAATTCGTTAACATCCATTACAAGCATCTTTAAAAGTTTAAGCAATTCAATGATATTGGTTCTTATTTGCCAGCTAACTTTAGCTCCATTTAGGGGAAAATCTTCCGCACGAATAGCTCAAAGTCTGCATCGTCTATGCAGTATATCTATGTATCTGTGCTGAAGTAGTGCAAAACTCGAAAGGAAAGATGCTAGGAAAACATTCGCTTCAATTTCTAAAAAACCAAAGATCTAGATGTGCATACTTACAGGTTGATCGCTCGTTTTTCGTAAGGGCAGATGAATGCGTAATTTAAGTGAATCCTTTCTACGAATCGCAGATACAAATCTGCACTTATTGCAATCCGGATTCAGACAATGCAAATCGGTCAATGCTCCTCCTCCTGACACTGATTCTGCAAGCGGTCCTACTGAGGATGTCAAACGACAACAGAAACCTGAGAAAATCACTAAAAACCTGATATTAATGAACTTATTATGTAAAGTTCAATGGCTTTTCGGTTCTCAGGATACCTACTATTCAAGCATTTCCGTTTTATGTCATATTTGGATAGGCAAAAAATCCGAGGAGCTCAAAAACGTTTTAAAATTTTTGATCAGTTTCGAAATTTTTACTTACTCTATAATGTGACTTGTTTTTATTCATTCTGAATGTCAATTAATCGGTAGTTGTGTTTTATAAATAGGCATTTCCAAGCGATTTATGGCATATAGGGGTATTTTGTAACTGAACTGCATGTAAATGACCGAGGCCGTTTCCGATAATATCGGTCCGCCTTGTCTGAATTCCATATTAAGTAATTTATTTAGAATTGAAGACAATTGAAAACCGTTTACTAGCATGGCGTTTGCGTTTTTTGCGCAACGTCGTTCATAAAGTGGTAGTTAGACCTTTATCACGCCGCATATTAAATTCAGTATTTGTTCAGAAAATCAGACTTTGAGATAAAAAGCAAGCGAGACAGTGTCGAATTGGTGCATCTTTAAAAAGCGAGCAATTCCTATGCAGCAAATCACTTGTGGACGATAAAGGTGCATTATTCTATCTTACAGTTTCGAATAAGCTATATGATGATCGCTGAATTGACTGCCCATGGCCCGACAACCGCAAAAAAGATGGCAACAGTCATGTTCGACATACTGTGAATTGTTTCTTAAAGGAAAGTGATAAATGAAGCTGCGTTTGTCATAAATGAGGTAGAAAAATGATTTGTTATGCATCAGGTTATGTGGCCTACCAAAATCCTTGGTAAATAAATTAATCTCCCACTCAAATTTTACATGAACGATTTTAGTTTACAGTTTCAGCAAAAACAATCGGGTTTTTCTATTTCCGTTTGTCTACCGCCTTTGCCATCAACATGCCTAAACACTGTTTCTACTGAAGAAAACAAATATTTTGGTCTGCTTTCTGAAATGCGGAAACATTCTTTTTTATTAGTTCATGAAGGCGATATTGTGCAAAACGTGACAGTGGACATTGACAACGAACAAACAACTCTTCGGTTCATCGAGAACGCGGAAAGCCAAAACGCTTCAGTAGGTCATTATTCTATCAATGCTATGACTAAAACACTCATTTGATTTGACCTGAAGCTTAAGGGCGAACACAAAAGCGCACTTGCACTTATCTTGGACTTTCAGTAGACCTGATTTGTGTCACCATGACAACTAGAAAGGTCTCCGTAATAAATAAGAAAAACAAGGGATTAATCTGTGCCGAAAGAAGTCTTTTTATAAAATAGTTTGTTAGTAGGTGCAAATAATTTCTTTTTCCCTATGGAGGCTGACAGCTGCGAATTATTTGTATTCAGCCATGAAATGGGATCAGAATTTCTGCTTATTCACGATAGCAGAGTAAGACCTTTTAGAGCTCAGAGGAATGACATACTCTACTAAAAAAGGTCTTCTAGTAAGTGCGATGGAATGGTGAGATTTGCGCACTATCCGAACCATTACTGAAACTGTAAATTTCAACACATCTGACGGGTAACCAACACATGATACAGCAGATCTTAGGCGGAGTAATTAACGAACGATTGCTAACCGCTCGCAAACGAAAACCAGCGATGAAGGCGATATCCATGTCAAGAAATAAAGACTTAGAGAGAATTAAATACATGCAGCAAATGCTAAAAGAGATGATAAGTTTTCTAGAAATGACAAGAGTTTTTTGAAAAAAACGGAAAACCCCTAAAAAAAACATTTAAATTGTTTGTACTTCTGGAGACTTCGCTTTCCGATGGACGAAAACTTTGGCCGTGCAAAACACTAAGCTAATACGGCAACACAGATAAAGTGACTCCTGGACATAGCCCTTTACTGAGGTTTGCACTGAAATACCCTTAAGTACTTCATGTAATTTCAGGTATTGCAGTTCGCAAACAGACGAAATTTGAATAGAAATTCTAAGCGATTTTTGGAGAATTCGTGGTATTTTCCACGCCTATGAATTGGCTGAGGCGATTAAGTCGATCAACGACATTAAAGAGCAAGAGGTGTTACCAGGGCAGAGTTGGCAGGCTAAGTAAAATTGACAAGTACAGTCGTAATCATATAATTTTTTGCATTTAACGAGACCTTTCGTAAAATCAGTTTGCGCCTTTTGTTGGATGTGGACAATGTTGGATTTCACCTCGGCCATAAACATCGCGGTATATTTCAGGATTTTCTGTGTTTAAAGTCGATTTCCCAAAAAGACAGTTTCCATGTTATGATGTTCTTAAAACCTTAAACGAAGAATTCCTTTTGAAGGAGTTTACCGAAGAACCTAGTATTAAGACGCTCTTTTTCATGTGGAGAGCCATTCTGGTCACACTTGAAGACTCACCCAAGCATGAAACCCTGTCGATTAAAAAAGGACATCCACTAGAAAGTCGGCAATTTATATCACTTCGCTCACTTAGAAAATTTCTTCTGATAGGTGACCTTACAAAAGAGCGCTTTAATACTGCTTTCCATTAGCTGATTTCTGTTTACTTTATAGTTCTACATGATGCAGTCGTGTCTTTCGATTGCTTGAGAATACGGATATTTTTTACCGAAAGCGTAATTACATGCTTTTTTTCTTATACTGCGTCTATTTTCCATATCTTCGCTCAATTGCTGGCTGAGTTCTATGGCCATGAATGCCCGCACAGTTGCCCCTTGAGTACGAATATTTTGCTAAAGTTGTTAATTTTCCGCCGCTTTCATTTGAAAATTACTAACATACAGAAGTAAAGCTTCACGCAAAGTTATATTTCCAAGTAATGTCCAAACCTGAAAATATGTATTTGCTGGTAGTAACACTGTTGACGAAAATATCATTTTTTAAAAGACAAAACAATTTCAGCCCACTCATGCGTTTCTCTCATACTTAAGTTCACTCAACCACATAGATCTGCTAATCGGAGCTCAAAAAGTGGATAAGCCGTCTGGTTCTCTTAAAATAACATATGTGTAAGCAAGTCGATTCCCAGAGTTAGCATAGGAATAAAATCAATTATAAAGTGCGGCATGCTCTGATTAACAATTCTTCCGAGAGAAAATTAATTTTCTATCTAAGAAAATGCGCTCTAATCCACCACGAAAGTCTAGGACGGGTATAAGCATAGACAAGTATCTGAACATGCCGCAACATCCACTTTTTCTCAAATTATCAACCTACTGCTTGAGAAACTTACGCGGACAAATTTTCTCCTCTAGAAACGGATGCTTTCTTGAAGTAGCTGAACGACAAACAAATGCACAATCCCTAAGACGTCCAAAAATTTGTACACAAATTTCTATCATCAGGTTTCGTGGAGTGGGCACCTACTCTAAGGCATTTCGGATCCCAAAATCCTCGTGAAATTCAACGTTCTTGAAATTTGTATCGCTAAATCACAGGTTCATTTTGATTTGGAAATTGCAAAGATCTCTATGTAACTTTGGGACAAGAACTTTTACGCAATTATATAGAATTCATAAAATTTTGCAATGGATGCGAAGAATACTATACACATCAAGAGGATCATTGTTTAACGGATATGTGTGGTGCTGTATGTATGGATATCACACGGTCCCAAAAACCTCATAATTAAAAATTCACTAACATGAAAATATATTTTTGTTAGTAGAACTTTGAAGACAATGTGATTTTCTACCTAAAGCGTAGAAAGTGTCAAACGTATGTGCACGTTTTCTATATAATACAATTAATGTTAGAGGACCACAGACTGTCAATGTAAAAAACCATGCTAAGAAAGCAGATATTTTTCTGAGTTTGGTTTGCGAAGGAGGTCAAATAGAAGGGCATTCAATCGCCGACATCCTGATATATCCGAAATACTATGGGATTATGCCTTATGAAAGTCAATATTACAACCATATCTAACCAATCCTTTCTAATCAGAAACGCAATTCATAAATTTTGCCGGTATTTCATGCGATTGGTCATTCAATGTCATGCCTCCAAAAATTAGGTGTGCAATGTCAATTTCTGGGTCTTTTGCTGCTAAATGTCCGAAGGTAATTTGATTATTGAACAACGGTTGTTAGTGCTGCTTGGTAAGCAACTGTAAGCCCGCCTTTCGCGACTTGTTTTCCAAGTGCATATAAAAATTATGGTCATCCCAGCGATACCTTTGTAGCCGTTTCTAGACAAACACATATTCTTAAGGTTCTGTGGAAAGAGAGATCTCACAGCGTCCTTACGTTTAGACATGCAATGGAAGACATTTTTTGGCTATATATGCCGTGTTAAAGTGAGATGGCAACGTTAGAGGTACCAGTATTATGTCCTGCATCTTCCTGCTCTACCGTTACATGTTACATGTGAATAATGTCAGTTTTTAAACAAAACCTTATGTCAGTAATTGTTATAGGACAGTTGTACACCGTATTTTAGATAGGGGACTTTAAGTCGTATCATTTTCTGTTGGCTTTTGCCTCCTGAGGCTTCTTCGCGCGCATTTGAAAACTAATCTCCGTTGCGATATGGTTATCTAGCCGCATCTGATGGAGACAATACTGTTGATCTACTTAAGTATTTTAAGTTGGTGTGATTACGTTGGCATGGTGTTGTTGTGCGTTGCGGTGTGTGTTCTGTCGGCGGCCTTGTTGCTTTGTAGCCGCGTCTACCTTTTTGACTCAATGCCGATGGTCGCTCTTGATTTTCGGTCTGCGTGTCCTCTTAGCATTCGCGTTGGAATTTAGGGTTGCCACTAACGCTAGATTTAGGGCTGGCGTTAGGTTTGCGACTGGCGGTTAGAGGTTAAAGTTAGGAATTAAGATTTGAGGATTAGGACTTAGGGCTGGGCTTGGGGAACAGGGTCAGAAAGTCAGTGCTTAGGGTGAGGGTTTAAGGCAATTACTTCTCAACCACTTAAAGTAAAATCGCACATTTCCGGTAATTTTACTTATGCATACACTTACTACACCTCGTCGCCTGTAGGTCCCAGAGCCCCAGCTGTACAAACATATATTACCACCAGTCATGTATTACAGGTGGCTGGGGTTTGGTTGCCTTAGGTGAGGCTATATAATCACGTCCGACACATTGAATGTGCGAAAGTTTAAGCCAATAATTTTGTACCTGTCGTGGAAATCTCTAATTGGCTAGCTTTTCTGATGGAGTTACATGTAATCTTTGGTCTCTTTTTAGGTGGCACCGAATAATAATTTCGTTTAATGCTAGTTTGCTGGCATTGCCGTGACAAATAAACGCTTTGGATCGAGCAAAAAATACAAAATTTCTCAACGGCTAAACATATTGGATTGTGTTTATGAACAGCTGAAATTATTTAGGAGAATAAACTGCAGTCGGCGAAATATAGGCAGGATAATTTGAACGTTTACTGGCATCTGGAAAGGGGCTTCAGTTTCAATTTAATGCATACTGATAGGCGCTTGAAAACATTTAAAAATAAATAAATTAATTGTAAGCACAACGTTTATGAGTTATTTCGCCTTGCAACTTTCCGAGTAAAAACTACCAGCATCCAAATCTAGTCGCTTTTTGCAGACATTTTGCATGTATAGTTTATGTACTTTTATTAGGAACGAGGCGACGTCAGTCTTTTGATCCTGCCTTTTAGTAAAACGGCTTTGCTCTCACGATTTTGCAGAATAAATGCACGTGATTAAAGTGTAGCTGAAGTTAGTTTATTCTTTTTAAATTTCACTCGTCTCTAAAGCCGCAATTAGGAAAAGTGCACACATGAAAACCAGACGCCTGCTCAATAAAACCAGTCGACGTCATAGACGCGTTGACTTGGAAGTGGCGCGGTTTCAAGGCTTTTATTAACATTCCGCTTTGATTGTACTAGCCAGCTACGTAGGAGGAAATTACTGTTGCTAATTAAGACCCCTTCTCCTGACTGAGACGCAGATTGGGCTGTAAACCTGTTACAGCCCAGAAGCCGGATATTTTGCGCACATGTTTCAACCTGGATTGACGCAGCATGTGACCCAACATATGAACCTTAATAAAGGAACTCAAGCCGACCAATGGGCGCAATCGAAATGTTGCAAATTTAACTAGTTTTTCTAGACTATTCCGGAAAATATACTCTTTGTAAACAAGATGTTCATCCATTTGAGTTAAAATCTACTTTTTATTGCAATTAGGTAGTTTACCATTCTAAAAGCTAAGCTAGAATAGGTACCTTCTTCGATACAGAACTTGCGCACTTAAAAGCCGATGTTTTGTCGCAACAATGTAGGCAAGCAGACTAATTTTGGCAAAAACGGACATATTACCGATTCTTCGAAGTCCTTCACGCAAATCTATGTAATTTAATGTCCTAAGTCGCAGTAATAACGCCTAATGACGATCCTTTGTTTAAACGTTTTGATACTTTCCTACACTTTGCATATGCCTGCTTAATAACCGCGAAATGATCTTCCACCAGATCGCTACGTTCACGTCAATGCACATGGTTTAATAGTTTCTATATACAATATATCTGCTAACACATGAAATGTCAACCAAAATTTCGAAATGCGTTCTCGTTTCGAAAAGAATAATTAAGTAGTGTTGTAAAACTAATCATGATGCAGAATAAATGTATAATGATCCAGTTACGTCAGGGTGTCGGCTTTCGAAAGAACTTATTTTCGTTTGCATACAAGATCTTTACTTTGCAAAAAAATGACTACTTAAGTAGCATGCAATTTTCTCATTTATTTTCGATGCCCTTGAAAATTCAATTATATTTAATGGAAAGCATGCATAAAAATATTCATTATTTTAATTATTCGATAGAAAATCGCGTCTTCTTCCAATTTTAGTCTCAAAAGAAGAGTATATTTCGGTTTTAAAAAAAAGTTTCTACTTGTTAGATTTTTTAATACCGTTAAATGGCCGTTTATGAAACGTCATGTATCTGCATTTACGAATGTGGCTTGTAAAGTTAACAATATTGCTCAAATCCACTGTTTAATTTTATGAACCTTATATAGACTCCTCTTAACACCGTAGATAAATGCATGGTTTTGTGTACACGGAGAATAAACAGCTTGTAGTTTTGAAACCCTGAATGCAAGTGTAACAGCAGGTCAGGTTCAAAATTATTCGAGAATTAGAAAAGTTTTTTAAAACCAAATTATACTCTTCTTTTGTGTATAAAATTGGAAGAGGACTTGATGAGAAAATTGCATACTATTTAAGTAGTCATTTTTTGCAGGGTATATATCTTGCATGCAGCCGAAAATAAATTTCTTCGAAAGCCGACTCCCTGAGGTAACTGGACCATTATTGATATATGCTGCATCGTGATTAGTTTCACAACACTACTTAATTTATCTTTTTGAAACGAGAACGCATTTCGAAATTGTAGTTGACATTTCATGAGTTAGCACATCTACTGTACTTTAGTTTCCGCAGATATGTCATTTGATTTGTTTAACTTATTCATTGTAATTTTGACGCCTTGATCTATTTGTTTTTGCTATTTGCGCGCGATTAACAACCGTTGGTAAATTCCAGCAACTAGGAGCTCTGAAAATTATTTTCGGTTGAATTTCGAACCACCCCATTGCATCAGGCTTGGTGAACTGAGAAGTTAATTTGCCTCAAATATAAATAAACTCGGTTGTCATGCTAAGCCCTCGTATTTTGCATAGTTAACTATACAGCCACGCACAATCCTCATGCATGCTCTCGTGGGTTCCATCGCCAATGACGTGGCCGAAGTCTACGCAGTTAGTTCTGGTAATTCATATAAATGTGGCAAAAAACATGATAAAAGCATAGTTTAGCGAATGAGAGCTGTTGAAACGTTATAGGCCTTGTCTTTAACTAAAGGATATATCCTCAAATAGGAAGATAATTATTTGCAAAACAAAAAAAACATTTGAAGGAAGTTATTCTCATTTGCTTACCACGGGATGGTTCGTTCAAGCATTCAGGCTTATTCGACGCATTTTGTTAAAAAGGTATTCTTCCTCTCCCATTCAATGTATTAATAAAATTACTTTGGTGACGAAATGTAAGATAATTTTTGTTCGACTGCCATTTATTGTTTTAGATCATGGATTCTGCTGATGCCTATGTTGTCGTGTATGCAATAGATGATAGGGAGTCATTTATTGCGGCTCAGAATATTGTTTCGGAAGTACTCGGATGTTCAAAGATGTCCAGCACTATTGTCTTGGTTGGGAACAAGGCCGATCTAGTCCGTACACGGGAGGTGTCCAATGAAGGTAAAAAGTTTTCCTAAACATTTCAGACACTCATCGACTGAAAAAAATTTGGCTACACATCAGACACAGCCTTACCTAAACGACCGACGAGTGCATGCTGGTTTTCCTTGCGAATTTTGAGGAAAAATTTAATGTCAGTAGAATTAAACTGCTATCTTGCCAAAAATGCATTTGCTACCAAAAGCTGGCTAAGGGAATCTTGATGCCGTTTTGTCTCATACAGACTGAAATTCTCTATCAGCAAATTTTTAGCAACTCTATTGCAATGATTCTCTTATGGTAATTCCTTCGGAACTTGCGTGCTTATGGAAAATAATCAATGATTAGTAAAAGTAGTGGTAAATAGGGAAGTCAGTGATTATTAAGCAAAACACGTCCCTTTTCTTCGCAGTAGGAATTTAAAGTTTGTGTGAACTTTACACTTATCTCACTCAAAGAGTGTTTTTAATAAATGACATAAGATTGGTAATCATAGACTACATTTATCAGCCTGCGAGCAACTTTTCTGACAACACTACTAAGTCACTTTTCCACTTGTATACCCTCAACGGTTGTCTAATGGGATGTATGAAGTTGATCTAGAAATGTTAGGCTTGCAACTTACAGAAGCACCTAAATTCATATTTCTTACCCCCTATGCAATACAAATTGAAATTTTGAGTTTGGGTTGTCTATATCCCCAAATGATTTCAGCCTGAAGCCCAAGCATGAAAACATCCGTCATCCTTTTATATCCAGGACAAATCTACATAAGGAGATCCACGGCTTCCCAGTTCCTATCAGCAATAAGTTATATTCTGGTGTCTACTATGGCTACATTAAGATTTGCAAGTGATATCCCTAGTTTGATCCATGCACATCCAAAGATATATATTTTTAACAGAAAATGGATCAATGCCAGGTTTGCATCACTAGGCGCAGAGGCTGAATTTTCATTCGTCTATGATCATCATTATAGCAAAGACCGCGGCTGACTTTGCATAAAGCAGTGATGCGTTTGGTAATTAACGTAGCCTTTCGTTTGCAAAGAGTACCATCACGCAGTGGGCCGATCCAATACTCCTTAAAGTAAGATATCGGGTGAAAATGCAGACTGGGAACCCAATAAAATTGGCTGAATAGTAAAACAGACATAAGCCCGTGTTAAGGTTTACGACAAGGGTATGGTTTATGGCAGAGGTTATTTACTTTAAGGCGCTGTTGTGTTGAAATAAAAAACTGGCGGCATTAATTTGCCAGAGAAAGGAGTAGAAAGACCTCGCGCTGACTGTTGCGTAAAAGCAAACAAGATACTTTCAGGTAGTCATTGGAGTAAAAATAAGACAATGTGGTACCTTTTTGCAGCAGTTTCAGAGGGGCATTAAATTCACCTACTATCACCATTAAATCAGTAAAATAATGTCCCCTTTTAATTGCTGACAATATGATGGGTCAATATTTGTGATTCACTAAGTCTTTAGATGCTTAGCTCTTCTGCTCAACAAAAATGCCCCCAAAATAGATAACTTCGGCTAAAAACTATACTTTTGTGATGTTTCCTGCTAGAAAGCATCTGCAAGTGGAATGCTTTTTGTATCGTTTTCTGTCATCAAAATTGATTGCATATTCCTACCAACTGATGTGCGTTTATTCGGTCATTTTTTGCCCCTGAATGTGCTCATTTCTAAAAGCGTTCCTTTTTCGCCTGCAGAGGGAAGGAACCTTGCCAACGTTTATTCCTGTGGCTTTTACGAGGTCTCAATATCTCTCAATCACAGAGTCAATGAACTACTTGTCGGACTGGTAAGTGCAATCAAGTCGGCCAATCAGAGAGTTCAAGAGGAGAGACAGCGTCTCAGCCGAATTGCAAGCCTGAAAGCGAACACGAGGAAATCCCTTGTGCCCACACTCGACAGTGCTTCGGATAGCATCAGCGGTTCGAAACGCCGTCACATTAGCCACAACATTCGCCGTTTCTTTCAGAAGTACTTTCCAAATATTAAGAGCGAAAAATGACCCTGTTAAACGGTAGTGTTCTAGCAGATTATCACGGGCCCTCCTAGCTGTACATATGCGGACATGAGGGCTCTCTCGCTGCCATTCGCGTTACACCAAACCAGTCCTTTCATATTTTGCTCATTTCATGAAAAACAGTTGTCTCTACTTAAATGATGTTTATGTAAATGGTTTGGATTTGTTACCTTTTTAAAATTCATGCTCTAATAAATTATGACAGTGCATTGCGTTCATACTGACTTTTTTCTCAAAAATCGAACAATTCTTGTCTGTAGGCATATATGTCAAATTTTTAAACAGAAATAAAATTTTTGCCAAAAACCAGAAAACTGGATTGACTTATGTTACGCTCCCCACAAAGGCGAGTATAATGTTACTGTCCAAGCAACCACGCAAGATCAGAAAGAAACCACTTATTTTGATTTCACAGGAAACAATATCCAGATTTTGAAGAAAGAGACACGATCGCTGGGACAAGAGCTTTATTTGACTGGCTTTTCGGATTCCCGCCCGAATCCAACAGGAAATACGGGTGATTCACGCACAAAGAACTGCAGTATTTATAGGTCGTCATGCTACCGCATTCCTATGATCATTCACGGCTTCCCCCTTCATGCGGGATCTTTGCGCTTGGTGTGTTAATTGTTTGATGGCCGACATGCGCGTCGTGAATTGCTGCAATTTCATCACGTGCGTTGGATGTTGGCGTGATGACTGCTCGACCATCTGACACACCGACCCTTGTGTTGGGACAAGTGTTCACATGTGCGTTCCCCGCGTGCGTAATTACTCCGCCTAGGCGAAGCTTCAGCACAAAGTATGAAACGGGAATTTCATTGCACTTGTTAATGGACGGGGGGCCTGTAAACCATGATTAAATTAGCTCCCGCCTCACGCGGTTGTCATCTCGTGCGAGAATTTCGGCCTCGTCGAATTTCAATGTGTGACCGGATCTCGTCGAATGAGTCGCAACTTGAGAGCTGGCGTCATTTCTCTGCACCACTGCAGCATATTCGGCCATTCTTGTTCGGAGCTGTCTTCCGGTTTCTCCGGCGTATCTGCTTTGTCCGCAACAGCACCAGATCCGATAAACGACTCCAGATGTTTCTGGCCGTGGCAGTGGGTCTTTCGGTATCATTACCAGACGCATGATGGTTGCCTCCGGTCTCTGTGCAACTCTAAACCCAAGTGGTGCGAGAAGGCGGCCGACAGCTTCCGGAAAGTTCTTGACATACGGAAGCGCCCGCCAAGATTTGGTTTCCGTCCGGATAGGCCCTTCGTCCCTTTTACGTATGCACCTGTTAACAAAGTTGCGCGGGTAGTCATTGGCTTGGAATAACTGTCGGGGCTATTTTAGTTCGGCAGTCTTGTCTTCCGGCTCTCTGCAGTGCGTTTCGACACGCCGATAGAGTATCCTAACACAACTGCCTTTGCTGCTGATTGGGTGGTTGATGTCCAAGTTCAGTACTTGCATCATATTTGTCGCTTTCCTGAACAATTTGGTCTTTAGGCCACCACCATATTTGCGGCATACGCGGACATCCAGAAAGCCAGCTGTTTGTTCTCTTCCTCCTCCATCGTAAACTGAATGTCCGGAAAGACGGCATTGAGATGTTCTTTGAATGTGAACAGCTGATCCCATTCGATGACGACGAAGCAGTCATCCACATAGCTGGTCCAAAACTTCGGTCTGGGGTTTTGGAAGATCATAGACTCTAACCGTTATTGGACCGCCTCAGTGATGAATCCCGAAATCGGCGAACCCATTGGTGTGTCCTTCATCTGTTCGTAGATTGTCACGTCGAACGTGAAGTCCGTCCTAAGACAGAGCTTCAGGAGCTGAAGGATTTGGGCGTGTCCAAGACGATTTTCCGTTTCGTAATATTTGCTTTGTAATAGCAGCTGGATTGTCTCGATCGCCAGGTCTTGAGGAATAGAAATAAAAAGTGATGTAACATCAAAAGATGCCATGATCTCATTTGGGTGGAGGCTTACCCCGTTAAGTTTCTCCAGTAATTGTGCTGACGAAGAGACCGTGGTGTCTGACTCAGCGGTCAGGGACTTGAGACGCCGGAACAGCCACTTAGCCAGTCCGTATGTTGGAGTCCTTCTAAACGACACGATGGGTCGGAGAGGAGCGCCGTCTTTGTGCACCTTAGGGAGGCCATAGAATCGGGCTAAAGCCGTATCTGGGGGGTCTCGCCATGCGCCTGTCGGTCGGTGTTATTGCACCTGAGTTCTCCAAGGGCAACAACGTAGCATTAATTTCGCGTGTCAGCGCTTTTAAAGGGTTCGTTGCACATGGGGCATAGAACTAACGGTCCTCCAGTAAGCCTTTGGCTTTTTGAAGGTAGTCTGCCCTGTCCAATGCAACCGGCGCGCCCTTTGTCCGCTGGCATGATGACCAAGTCCTTGTTGACCTTGAGTTTTCAAAGCGCATCACGTTCGACCCTGGAAAGCCCTTCCTGCGGCCCGTGGGCCATCAGGAGAGACGACGCTTGGTGTCGGATGAGGCACTTAGTCTCCTCCGTTGCCTCCATCTGACAAAGGATTGATTTCACTGCTGCAATCATGTTAACAGGTTTGGCGTCCGCCGTTTTAAATGAAGAACCGTGCCGTAAAACCTGCATCTGGTTCATCGTCGGCTTCTTCGATGACAGGTTGTGCACTAGTTTGTCGTTTCTGGGCGACGTTGGATTGGACAGCCTTCGGGGTTTGTTCTCCAGTGCCGCGTCGCGTATCATTCTCTGTTCGCGGGCTTTTTCGGTCACCCTCTGCAGGAGCAGATTTGTACCCATCTCGGCAATGAACTCAAATCCTTTGACGGTACTTGCGAATTCTCGCGGGTGGAGCCGTGAATGTTCCTGGGTATGCCGTAGCATGGCGACTGCATCCTATAAATGCTGCAGTCCCTTTTGCGGGAATCACTCGTATCTGCTGTTGTCTCTGACGATGTATTCGAGGAGGAATCCGAAACATCACGCTAATACAGCTCTCGTCCCAGCGGTCATGTCTTATTCTTCAAGAATACTTCCCGGGACATTTTTCTTCGCTTCTATTGGCAATATCCAGATATCAAGCTACATAGGCTTTCTTTAATAGTTGGCCAAGCTGAGGTTGATATCCTCAGCCATTCAGCTCAAGATAAGGATATTTTTCTGGAAAAGAACTTTGGCTTGTACATTTATCGCTTGGGGTTTCATGACATCCTCAATGTCCTTAAGGTAAACCTTGCTTTTGCTCTACCAGTTTTGCAAATAACTGTTGATCTGAACAAAAGCGACAATAACGCAGGCAATATAACAAAAAGCGACAAAACCCTGGTAGGTTTGAAAAACAAAAGATTTAAATTTTGCGTCGCAGAAATACATAACCAAAAGCAGAAAATCCGACTGCTGCAAGAGAAAACAGAGTCATGTGATTCGTCTACGGACTGTCAAAATGCGCAGTATTTGAGTGCACCTCTAAACATTTTATGGTTAGTCTGGCCGTTTACTTCACACCGGGCAAATAGATTAGGCGGGCGCGAATATTTTTAGACCAGAGTCTCTAGTATGGCTGTCGTTATAGCCGAACCGTTCCTTTGAAGTAGCTCTTTTTGAGATGGTCGTTTCTGGCAAATGATAAAAGAAAGCTCGAAAGTGAAGATGGCGGAAATGGAGAGGCGGAAGCTTTGCATGTTTACTAAACTATACAGCGTAATGAGGGAGTGTATACATAAAGTTCAGTGTCTGGTTTATCTCATGGAATTTTATTCGCGATTCTGCGGTGCGTTTTCAATTACAAATGATTACCCAGATGGGGTTGTAGTATTTAACTGTCATACAGCAAAATTCCAAGATGTTTAAGTGGTATTGGAAAGCCGGTTTCGCATAAATCTCTGGTTTGTGGACTGACAAACCATTGCAATTAATGCTAACCGAAATTCTGAACTGTGGTTTGGATTTTAAAATTTTATGTAAGTAGGATTGTCTTTAGGAAATTTTCTGTGGCATGATGCCAGAACCTTCCAGTCACGTCAAGAAGTCGACTTTCGAACGAATTACATATTGACAGTCTGTGTAAACCATGGTCCTTAAAAATGACTACTTAGCAGCACGGGTGTTTCCTATTGATTTTTGACATCCTTTTGCATTCAAATATATTCCATACAACACATAAAATATGCTTTCTTCTAATCAATTCGTAACAAATGACGTACTTTTCAAATTTCATACTTGAAGAGAGAGTATCATTTGGATGTAACAAGTGTCTATTTTGAGATTAATGAAGACCGCGAAATGCCCAGTCGCACAAAACAACACCAACGCCTTTATTAACGATGCTTATAAAATAGACAATGCGGTCCGAATCCAGTAAAAATCTTTTGAGTCCTATATGTTATTTTCAAAAAAGCACATAGAATTGCACAATTTTTCATGCACGAAAAATATGCAGCTCCTAGTCCCGGAACTCTAAATGCAGATTTTGCTCAAAATAACTCCGAAATTGAGAAAACGTATTTTAAAACCGACAGACATTCTTTTTTCATGTGTAGACGATTGAAGAATCTGTAATTAACTACAAAATTGGCAAATTAAAGTATATATTTATGCAGTGTTTGTAATAAACTTTCAAATTATATAACCTATCAAAAGTTCATGATAAAATATGTGCTGCATAAGTAGACATTACTTTAAGGAATACGGTTGATCCCAGCGGTGGTTAAGGAACCATTCTGACACACTAAAGTGACTGGTGTATATTAACGATATGTAAGAAGGTAAGTATTGTGACAGCACTGAAGACACATTTCAGAATTTTAGTCGCTTTTCATGGAAGAGCGTACCTACTGTATACATCAAAAAAAATTCATTTCTCCTGGTGCTTGTTTTTTAAGAAATATGGACGCTTTTTTAAATTTAGTACTCCAAAAATGCGTATTTCGCTGTTCAAACGTTTAAAGGATAGCTAGATGGCTCTTTATGCAGTGCTTTTTGTGGCTCTTTAGTACTGCTACT